TTTTTCCTCGAACCATCTCTGCCTTCAGTGATTGTTTAAAAAACAATGTTATAATTGTCTGAAGGCAGAGAGTTCCATTCACTTATGGTTCGAGGAAAAAAGAGTAAACTTAAAAACGTCTTTGCTAATGATATGTAGCGGAAATGAACATGACTTATGGGTTTTCAGTTATTCTGAACATGACTTAATGGTTTTCTTTTCATCCTTTTTAAAAACTTTTTACCTTTATATGTATTGCTTTTATAAATTGATACATGCATATACTCAACCATTTTTTTACTTTGCTGATTATGCATTCTACTTTTTGTTAAAGTTGGTGTAATGTCTCGACGATTTTACCGACTCAATAAAATTTAGATGTAGATGTTTGGTCATGGGCCTTGATTTAGTCCTAGACTACAATTAATGTCTTTCCTGATCCAAAAAATATGTAAGCGTATAGACAGACACAACCTAGTGAAGTTTCGCTGTCACTGTTCACCTGCTCGAGATGCATCATTGGTGCGCATTAGATCATATATTTGAATGCTCTTTTGCGCCTAATAAATAATTAATTAAGAGTTTGAATCTGTGAAAGAAATTCTATGATGTGTCAATTCATATGAAATCTCGTTGACTTTTTTTTTTTCATGGTACTGTTTGTTTTGCACTTATTTGTAGACGAAATCTGGAATTTTCTTGAAATTGGATTTAAACGGGCCAGTTAAGAGTGATCTTGGATGAATCTTTAAAAACATTTTCATGAAAACTGGCGTACTTGGGTCTTGTTTGATGTTCATTGGAAACATTTTGAAGCCGTTTCGCCCGTCGAGTTGGGGTTACATTTAAAGTTTTCCTTCCATCAGTATTCGAGACTAACATTCACCACCAGTCAGTCAACCAAAATTAAGTTCCCGACACTGAACCACACTGTCGTATATGTGCTTTTTTACGGTTGTGTCAAATTTTAAATATGTTATGTAATTTCAGTTTGTTTTTCCAACCAGCCAACCGAACGTGCAGTTCAGACGAGTTTAGCTGCGGTAACGGTAAGTGCACAAAGATGGACTGGAGATGCGACGGTGTCAACGATTGTGAGGACTTCTCTGATGAGATTGCTTGCTGTGCGAAAAGCTTCCCCCGTAAGTATTTTCTCTACTTGACCTAGATGTCTTCGCAGGTGTTTCCTAACTAGTGGATTTACCTGACATTTTCTGCACAATTAGGGGTCACACGTTTGACTTCAAAGGAGACTGGGGGTTCAGGGGCGGATCTAGGGGGAGGGTGCCCGAGATAACCTGCGGTTTTCTAATACAACTGGTATTCTGCAAAAAAAAAAAACTATGTGGTTTATTGTTGCTCATGACTCATTTCACCCATTCCTGGACCGCGATTTGGTACTTTTTTTTTGGTTAGAAAACTTCATATTTCGTTTTAGAATATGGTCTGACCGGTCAAAGGTTTTTTTTTTGTTCGGTTGAGGATGAAATTTTTTTTTAGAACTTGTTCTGGAAGACAAATTTCGTCAATTTTTTTGTTATTTGCGAATTAGGGGGCCGTCAATATAAAATCTCATGTTTTGAGTATTGTTTATGGGTGTGTTCCTTTCGGCGAATCCAAAAACGGATTTTTGATCCTAGATTTGCCAGATTTCGCGGTCGAAAGGAACGTGAAATCCGAAATTGGATGTGTAACCTTGATAACCTTTCGCCAACGCATGCAATATGCACAACAGCCTCTCAAAAAATGACGTGTTTTCTACTGTTTGACAAATTATGCGATTATAACGTGCAGAATTTAGTGGTCGGCAGTTCGAATAGCGACGATGGAACATATAAAACAGACAAAGAAAGAAGCCCATTAAAACTGAAAACTATCGAAAGAATGTCGGCCAGTTTGATCCAGTTCCATAGCTCGGATTTTTTTATGTAACACGATCGAGTGCCTGTCGCGTCTACAAGCGAGTTTGTAGTTAGATAGCAGTTCATTTGTTACTTTTACTTATTTCTGATTTCAAGCAATCTTTAGAGACAAATGGTTAGTATATGGATATTTTAATGTACCAGGAACAATCTTCTAATGTTTTCAAATGTTTTGCGGCAAATGACAGCAACGAGGAAACTCTACGGCCTCTATGGGAATACTTCAACTGGAAATACCGCTGGATCATCTGACTAATTTCGGATCCACTGTGAATGGAACAGCGTAGATCACTAATCCGTTAATCTGGATTTGGATTCTTCGGATTTCAAATCCAATGAATCCTTTTTCAAAAAGGATTCACCAGATCAAAAATCCGGATTTGGATTTGCCGAAAGGAACGCGAAATCCGTTCTTAGATCTAAAATCCGTTTTTGGATTCACCGAAAGGAACACACCCTATATAAAATGTTCATCCAGTCGGTATTCCATTGTTTTCAGTCATTCAACCCCGTATTTCCCCTGAGGCTGACATTTGAGTTTGCAGAGTTTTATCGGGTAGAAAGGTCCTTATTAAATCCGAGAGGTCAGTTGGACAGTATGCCTACTGAATATTAATGAATTTTTGAAGAAAAAATATCTTGCCAACTAGTTCTGGGCGAAAAAGTGAATGCGTTGAACTACCGAGAGAAAACATCATGGATTTCCCTAGAGTACGCAAAGGACTCTCTCTCTCTTGTCTGTTGTTTGCACATGTCTGAAGATATTCAGGAATGGAGGGAGGGGCAGTGCCAAACTCCTTTCACCGTTTTTAAAATTACTATTGGATAGCAAAAATAAAATAAAATGAACAAAATTACAATATCTACACAGGAGTCCACATACGTTAAACTTACATAGGATGAATGGAATGCACAGACTTGATAGAGATGTAATGGTAAATTTTGAGTCCGGTGAATAAATGAGAAAAATCCTTTTTCTCTTTTCTGATGAATACATGAAAATGTATTCACCAGGTTCAAAATGCACCATCACATCATTTTTAGGCAATGAATTTTTTTCGGTTCTCTTGGCCGCCAGCGATAAGTCCATATCATCCATCATCCGGTGCGTTAGCGCTAGTGTGATTCCTTGCTGTCCATACTGAGCTGGAATAGAGCTTTAGGTCGTCAATGATAAGGGCGTGACTTGTACCCTTGTAATGTTATCAATTTCCACGGCGTGGGATTCACGCACATGATGGAGAGTAATGGGCTTTCTTTCTTTCTTTGTGGACACTTGTCTGTTGTTAACACATGTTAGTTCTTAGATAATACGGAGGGGCATTGCCAAACTCCTTTCATCATTTCAAGTTACCAATGAATAGCAACGTGAATATATACAGTGCCAGGGGGTAGAGGTTAAAAATCTTATAATGCTGCGAGCAGATGCTGGGCAGTAAAACATCATCCGAGAAACGATGAACTGGCATACACATTTTGTTAATTACGGACCCATTTTATGGGTAAATTACTGGTTAAAGGATAGAAGGCTACAACGTAATCCCACAGGCATGAGTTCTTTGTGATTTGGGTCACTAGTGGCCAGTTTACAGTCACACCGGAAAATAATTTAAAGCTGTTGCGCGTGCCACAATATGCAAAACTAAGCACAAAAGCTCACCTGGTGTCTCATTGGTGGTTATCTGGAGTTATTTACAAAATTAAGAGGCACTCAACCGCAACAGCGAAATAATTAATTCAATCTAAAATGATTTTTGTCGCCGTGTTCATGAGTAAAGAAGATAGTCTTTGATACTGCGTTGCTTTCTTACTAGCGACGCTGTTGGGATGTAATCTCTCAGGTTCCGTCGACTTCTGGCGAGGGCCAAGTCGTTGAGGAGGATGGCAATGTTGATTGGCCTGCCTGCCGGTTCTCTTGCTATTTCTCTATAAATTAGGATACAGGGTAACTGAAGACATTAAAAGAATTTTGTTTTCCGTGTTTTATTTCATTGTAGCCTTCTTAAGACAACAATTATGTTACTCGGATAATCTTTTGCAGTATTGTGTAGACGCCCGGTAATACAGAGAGTCGAGCTAGACTGTCCAGTGGGTGAATTCCAATGCGAGGGCTCTAGCCGGTGTATTCCTAAAAGTAAACTTTGTGATGGTTACACGGACTGTAGGTATGGAGAAGATGAAACGTCTTGTGGTGAGTATCATATAGGCTGTAAATAAACAATTTCTAGTTAATGGGATGCAATACCGCAAAGATGAATAAAGTATATTTATGTAGAAAAAAAAAACACTTGTCCCCTTTTCAAAGAGCTGCTTGCACTTAGATGCCCCATTTTCTTTAATCCCCACGAAGCGAGGCCGATACCTCGCGCTGTGAGTTTTATGAATTTATCGAAACTTACCTCGCGCGTGGATCTAGAAGGACACCGTAAGATATAATCTAATTATTATATCGAAGGGAGTGTATCACTCGGATCTAAAGCAATCGATGTAGACTCAATTTGACCACTACATCGAGAACTGAGAGGTGTATTTTTCGTATGTATTGATTTCTGCATTTTCAAGCTTTGCAGAATGAACTTGCTTTGTTTGTTGTTCGGAAAAGTTATGAATGGAGGCCGGAAGATTCGTTGCGGTAGAGCAAATGTAGTGCGTTTTCTGAAAAACAAGAGAATCAAAACACCCAAGCAAACGACTATCTGATCTAAGATTTTCAGAGAATTTCTCCTAATTTGCTACGAGAGGGACGTCCGCGGGGAATAACTCCCTAGGAACAATCACAAAGAATTTGTGTTTGCTATGAGGAAGAATTTATGAGTCCTGTTTGTTAGAGCTTTTGTTCAAAGTGTCGAATGATATCTGCGAGGCGATAACTATGGTTTGTCTGTGTCTAACGACAAGGAATTCCACGAAGTACAAGTATTTTGTAATTTTGTATCACGCTCAGCATTTGTATTAAGAAATAGCAGTATCTGCATTTAACCCAGCTTTTCAGTCTCTTTCAAGTATATTTATAGTCCATGAAACAAAAAGAGAACTACATGGTGGTGCCGGAGAAGATATGAATTTTATGTTCGAGTGGCTAGAACAATATTTCAAACGTTCGCTGCCTGCTCTTACTCGTGAGATATAGTTCTTTCCCCTCAAACTTAAAATAAAGTCTTTTTTCCACCTAGCCTGCAGACACAGACGTATTTCCGGTCGTCGCTTCTCTCCACTCGAAAAGTAACGTTTGCGAAACCGAGCAGCCAAACGATTTCCGCGGCGTAAGACATTATTAGCCAATCACAGTTTAGCTCCTACAATAAAGGAGCTAACTCGCGAGACTTCTCGCAAGATCGTGCGCGATGGATCGTCCATTCGAAATTGAATGGACGTAGCCTGTGTATAGCCGCCCCTTTGCCGCTCGGGTTCGCAGATTTTGCTTTTCCGGTGAAGAGAAGCGACGCAGGCTACTCTCCACCGGGTAATATCCTCTATATATCTGGTTGTTGTCTGCAGTTGCTTAGCAACAAAACGGCCACAAACATCTTCTTCCGGTTGTTTTGGGGGCCTTTTTAGCGATTAAGAATTGCTTTTAGCGATGAATTCAGTCCACAGAAATATCATTTTCAAGTGTGCGTTGGTGATATGGCTGCGCTCTTTAACTGTAGAGAACTCTGATGTGCCCTGCACAAATGAAGTTGTAAGCTTATCGCCAGGAAAACTGGAAACCGTTTGATGTTTTTTGGAATGCATCGTCGCGAAAAGCTTCGATAATGTAGACTTTTCTGGAAAGAACTTTAAATTTGCAATTCAAATAAAGTTCTACCCATAAATCCATTAGGTCCCATCGTTCATGGTTTATACTTTTTAAGCGACAACGTTTTTTCGAACAGTTGTATACTGAATCGAGGTAATCGTGATAGAAAACTTGATCTGTGTATAAATGAAAGGTAGCCTTCGTTACAGCCGGACTTGTCACTCAGGACCTATAGTTTTAAGCAGTCTGCTACTCAGGCTACTCCCAGTAGTCTTGCGGACTCCTACCTGCGTCCGCGTTGAAGTTTGATTTCTTTCTTGTGCTTCTTTTATCTATACAATTAGCCAAAACGACATGCCAGCCATATGAATTTACCTGCAAAAATGGCGCATGCGCAAACATGAACTTCAAATGCGATGATAATGACGATTGTGGGGACAACTCCGATGAGACTGACTGCCCTCCTCCCAGCTCAGAAGGTAAAGGCTAGTTTGCACCCATGACGTAATACTGTAATAGCCGGTACAAGCCACATGCGTTGACGTAGTAGCGCGTTAATAACTAGCAGGACGTTATAAACATATAGCCTGTGTAGCAAGTGTTCCCGTGCGAGTTGGATGAGAAAGTTGTAATGAGAGCAAAAAAAGGCAGGAAGGGCATGATAAAGAGAAACGCTTGTCCACAGACCTCACGATTCTGATACACATCCCTTAATATTTGACAGTCCGTTTCATTCGTAGGTTGACAGCTTGTCAACATAGTAGCAGAAAAACAGATTCACCAGATTTTAAAAAATTTTCTCTTGTTTCCTACCCTCCCCTCCCCTTCTTCTCCTTTTTTTTTGTTTTGTTTTCCAACTTTCTCAACAACTCGCTGATAAACGAAGGCCATCTCCCATGACTCAAGACATAGTCGCCTCGAGTTGAGAACGCGCTGCTGCAGGAAAATTGAGAAAAATGGAGGCAAGTGAGGTTCAGGAATGCGATTGCCATGAGCCTTGAAATCAATAAGAGGTTTGATGTAGAATTCTAGGATCGGGTTAAGATAACTGCAAGGATGCGCACACTACGTAACTACAGCATTGCTTTGCACTCGCCTCGGCATTAAAGGGCACCTGAACACGGCCTTTGGTCCTACTGCGGCCTGACGGCTGTACCGATGAGCCCTAATGATGGCGAAACAGCTCTACTATCTGAACAATCTGAAAACCTGGAACAGGTTTCTGATGGGGTGATATTGCAGGTACTCTCATGCGTAAGAAACTGGCCATAGCGTGAAGTTTAATGGTGTGTGTGCTTCCTTGCAGTTTCGGCCAGTCTAGTCTCAACTACACTCCCCTAACCTAAAGTTAGCATTAACTCTAACTTCTCCCAAAGAAAGGTGTAGGTGGGCAGTTTCCCCGAATCTTATCCAAAGCTGTACGAAATCAAAACAGGATTAAAACTATGCAAGCGTTGTTACGTTGAGTTCTATTAATAAAACTAGTTTGCTCGACACGTCGTGCCCTGTATGCCTGGATACTAAATCTTAATTCTCTGATCTCAAATGCTACTTTCTCAAAAAAACATGAAAGGAGATGATCCAATTTTAAAGCATTCGCTGTGCCCGACAGGACAATACCAGGCTGCAATAACTGAAGCCTTCAGCGCAATCAACCAATCAATCAATCGTTAATTTATCCACGTAGCGCCTAGTGAGCTAAAAAGCTCGTTCAAAATACGTACGTGCTAACGTAAAATTGTCTTAAAATCTTGAGAATTAAAAATCTATTATATATACAACAACTAGGTTTGTCATAAAAGCTAAAATGTACAACTACAAATGTCACCGTATGAGAATTCAGATGACTAAAAATTGCTATGAATACGCATTCTAATATGCAAGATTGAAAATTGAAATAAAAGGATTTATTCTCAATCGACTTAGCAAACTTGGATAGGTTTTCTTTCCTCAGATCGGGTTCAAGTGAATTTCAGATTTTAGCGACTTGGTAGGTGAAAGAGAGGATTTATGCGCTTTGTATTTTCTGTTTGCCTCTACCACTTGCTGTGTGGGTAAAACCAGCTATCTAGTAATTATTTTAACAAATCGGCATTTAATACGAATTTTAGCGTTCATCATTTATTCCATATATTTAGATACAACCCTGTTAGTTTTTGGATCACAGGATGGATTATACGAAATTGACGTGCGCAACAAGTCAAGGATGACACGGATATCCAAGAAGATTGTCTTATCATTTGACTTTCCATCAGAACCGTCCCAGATTTACTGGTCGGACGGGAAACGTATATACCAGTTATCTCGACATAATGGCAACAATGAAGCAGTAAAATTTCGTCCTGATGACGTCAAGTCAGTGGCGAGTCTGGCTGTTGATGGACCGGCTAATAAATTATACTGGACAGACACCCTGCAAGGTGCAATTTATGTTGGGGATCTAAAAAATGACAGAACTATCAAGCTAATGGAAGAAAACCTTGAATCTCCGAGAGCTATTGTTCTTAGTAAAGGGTAAGTATCAAAAGTTTGGCTTTTTCCAATGTTAGGTAACCCTTTCGAGCTGCATACTGTGTTTACTCGGAGCCCTGGCTCGAATATTAACGCGCCTCTTAGCCCTTGATGACATGTTCATACGCGGACTGAACATGTCTTGTTTTGCTTAAAGAATGTACGCAATGAACTAAGTATACCAACTGATACTTTGATGAAGTCAACTGACTGCGGTTAAAAGACTCAAAAGATCGAAGTTTCGAGCAGTAGCCCTTCGTCATAGCAAATTCTGATAGATCGCCATACGAAAAATAATTTGTGCATCCTATGGGGCGACATCCACCTTCCTGATCAACTAGGCCAGTTGTGTTCATTCAAGACGTTTCCTTAAGAGTGTGTGTAATAGGACTTGCCGACCTCAAGTTATTCAGGCGATTATTTACAGGTTGGGAGTAGCTCTTCTCGAACCGTCTCCTCTGTACGTCGACCTTGCACTTTTCGGGATCTCTAGCCTTCTGTCGGATGTGCCTCTGAACTAGCTTGGAGATCTCACAGTCGGGGTTCATGCGGGAAGTCTTTTTACGTGCAAATGTTGTAATTACATTTCGCCAAACGAACTGCCATTTCAAGATAGTTGCATTCATCTTGGATAGTTAACGAGTTTCCATACGAACTGACTGATCCCTCAATAAAAAAAGGGAGGGAGGAGGTGGGGGCGGCTATACACAGGTTACTAATCTTAGGTCAGTTGTTATACTGGCAATCACTAGAGGAAATTTTTTATATTTTTTCTTACAGCTACATGTACTTTGCCGAGGGAGGTAGGAAGCCGAAAATCGAAAGAGCAAGGCTGGATGGGAGTAAAAGAAAGACGCTCTTTATTAGTGATAGTAACCTAGTCCCAAATGGTTTGGCTCTCGACGAGACACGCAACAAACTTTACTGTGCAGGGACAGACCTAGCTGGATACGGCGTTATAGGGGTTATCACTCTGAGTGATTTAAGAACGACTTTTATTTTTCAACGCACGGGCTATCGTCCGTTTGGTCTAGATATCTTTGAGGAGCATGTGTATTGGACTGACCTAAGAAAAAAGGCTCTTTTACGCATCAACAAATCTAGTGGAACTGGAATGGAGGTCATTTTATCTGGTTTAAACAAGCCGAAGGGATTAAAAATTCTCCAAATAGGTAAAGAAAGACTAGGTAGAAATAGTACTCAATGAGGGGGCACATGCAGATTTGGCACATGCCTTTTTGCTGTTTTCGCTTTGCCAAACTGACAGAGTCCGTGTGAAAAGACCCTATATCTCTTAAGACACTATGTCCTGTTGCAGATTATGATAACTCCTTTTCGACGAGGGTGACAACGATGAGTACGGTTGTTCCAGGTGCTACTTGTGCATATAGGAATGGCGGTTGTGAGCACTTATGTTTAAATCTGCTACACCCAACAGAGCAGAAATGCCTCTGTGAGGAAGGGTTTAGGCTTGGAGAAGATGGGAAAACATGCGAAATGGTAAGTGTTGGTAATATTACCAATTTACTAAAAGTTATTGGAACTGCCACTTAAATGCCCCAAGACTTGATTCCCATGTGTTCACATATATGTCGCACGTGATTTTATTACTTGGCCTTGACGCTCGATCCGATCTCGTACGTACGTACCCAAAGTGTTGTTCATTACTACTCCAGCTACGTTACGTTGAGTTTCGTCCGATCATATTATCGCCAGTTTGTTTTAAGATACGTCATTTAGGATGTCGTTTATTTAAAGAAAATCTTCAACAAGCAGTCCAGATCCTTCCAGTAGCTTTTTGTGTATTCTTTGTACGTGAGCTTAAGACATTTAAGACGTGTCAAAAGATTATACGTCCGATTAGGGATAAAATTTCTAAAAATGTACGATACAGCTAATCAACTTCAGTGACTGAAGTGTTAGCCGCAAAAACGGCTCATTAGAGAGTGAAGCCCTACTATATGCGACCCCCCTTTTATGACAGATTTGATCTTTGACGGGATGGATCAAAAGCAAGTTACAGCCTTAGTGCTGCTTCATTTATCAAAGGCGTTCGACAGTATCGAACATGGACTCCTACTGAAAAAACTTTGTTCACTGGGTGTTTCTAGAGATGCAGTGTAATGGTTTTAGGTCATTTTTTGACAGATAGAAGTCAGTCTGTAAGGACTGGAAGTGAATTGTCAGATTCCCGTAAAGTAGCGCATTGCGTTCCTCAGGGGTCGATATTGGTACCTGCCCTGTTTCACATCTAATGGGTGCTGAAGAGCTATTACAACAACTTGTAGCTCTACTTGTCGTTTCCTGCCCGGGAGGCCGACCACACTGCAGCTGCAGGAGATTGGCCGCCTGTTGTTGCACGCATAGCCCTCTTATTAATCCAGATAAAACTAGGCTGCTATTACTGGGAACCTTGCAGATGCTAGCATGCATGTCGAAGGATTTTAGCATCACCTTACTTAACTGGCAAGGAAATACGGCCGTCACATTCCGCGAAGGATTTGGTTGTTGTAGTTGACGCACACCTAAGTTTTAATGAACATGTGACTGATGTAGAGTCCAAGTGTACAGCTAGCTTGTGTCAAATAAATCGTGTAAAACATGTATTTGATAAATAAACGCTAATGACCACTATAAATTCTCTGGTTGTCAGTAAAACGTTTTTAATTACTGTTCGTCAGTTTGGGCTAGTACAACAAAGAAAAACATTGTTCGATTTCAGAAAGTGCAAAATTTTGCCGCTAGGGTTGCCACCGGCATCACCCCCATATTAAAGAAACTCCATTGGTTACCAGTTGCTCGGCAACTTGAAGTCAGAGACGCTGTAATGGCATTTAAAAATCTGTGCACGGACTAGCCCCAGCATATCTGTGCAGTAAATTCTTTGTTAGATGTCTCCCAATACTAGACACTAGTTGGATGTATCGCTACTCCGAACGGCTACTGGTCATTGGTAATTTGTATACAAAGCCGCTCGGCTTTGGAATGAATTACCTCGGACTCTAAAGGAAGTGAATAATTTGATGAATTTTAAGGCTGCTCTTCAGAGTCGCGCTTAGGAGAATTTTATAGTATCATAGCACCTTTTATACTTAGACTCTTTTTAAGCTAGCCAGGATAGTTTTTATATATTCATAGTTTTTTACTGTAAAGTGTTACTGGAAACCCGATTTTATTGGAGTGACAAATTATTTATTTATTGAACCCCCTTTACGTTTCCTATAATACAATTCGTTTTACCCACAAATTTTGGCGTAAACTTTGTTTTCAATTTCTCAAGGAACAATTGGAAGAAAAGAAAGGTGAACCTTGGATTGCAGTAATTTGGCTGCTGAGTACTTTGTCGCTGTTACTTGTCTTATTCCTTGGGGGTGCCGCGGTTAAGAAACTCCTCTCGTACTCAAGACAAAGAGGTTTGCCAGACGTGCTACGCATGTCGTTAAGAAAGGAGAGTAACGACACGGAGATGAAACCTATGAATGGCCCCGTCGCTGGCGACACGAACATCATGCATGCAGACCCGCTCGTGGATAATACGACTGATGCGTCACCTGAGTGGAACCAGCAAGTGTGTAGTGCTGAGTCTACAGGAGCGTGCGCAGTCAGCGAGGATTTGCCACTTCAGGTGAGACAGGCGAAATAAATTTTAGATTCTTGGTTTGCAACCAAGTGACAAGCCGTTAGTGGTCAATACGTATACAGTACATCTGGTTTTCGAAAAATTTTCATGATAACAGAGTTTAGTTCCCAGTGGAAAGAAATGCTTTTGTTCTTGACACCCAACATTGAAGTGTAAACCAGCAACAGTTATCGAAACACATATAAAAGTAATAAGCCAAGTTAACTGAAAGTAATAAAAGATAATTAGCGAATATGAAGAGTTAACCAGGTGAAAAAAATAGAACATAAGGTTAGAGCGCTTGAATACTGTAGACTACATCGCGGAGCAAAACATAAGAAGCTATGATGTAGCCTGGGACGAGGTTCCGCAGTTGGGGAAAAAGGCCAAAAAAATGGGCGAGCGAAGCGTGCCGAGCGGTAGTCTCGCTTATGGGGATCCCTAGTCTACCGCTAGGCTCGCTTCGTTCGCCGATTTTTTTTTTGGCCTTTTTTCCCAACTGCGGAGCCTGGTACCAGGCTACTATGATGCGACCTGAACGGCAAAACCAGTTTTTGAAAGTGACCTAAATTCCTTACATCTTCACGCGAATGTTCGTTTTATAGTTACCGTAAATGACCTATTAAGCGCCCAGTTCCAAATAAACGCCTCTTATCTAATAAACGCCCCCGCTACACGGTTAAAATTTTATTAGACGCCCCTCTCTAATAACCATTCCCTGTCCCTATGGTGACTATATTTCAATTAAGGTCATTTTGACTTTTTAGCGTCTGCAAAACAGTCGCACTACAGCCATCTTTTAATGTCAGCTGTATCTTCTCAGGGCAGACCGAGGGTTGAAAATTTAAACCACTATTTCCACCCCCGGGTTTCCATCACAATGTAACGATGACTTAAATATTTTTTTAAGGTTCAGGTGCAGGGAGATGTAGTGGTTTACAATACAGTGAACATGATGAATACAGTTCATATGAATACAACCAATAACGTTGAGCTTCAACAAAGTGGCGGAGTGACGGTTGTAGGAGACGAAGCGAAAGTCAATTATCATCAGCCTCCTACGAGCTGATGCAAAACATCCTGAGTAACGACGATGGAAAAGAATTCCAGTCGTTACTTTTATTTGTAACACTAGCATTATCTGGTGTGTTTATTGTTCAAGACTGGATCAGATCGTTGAAGGGCCTCTTCGCCATTCCAGAAACCCTTACGCGTGAACTCTTTCCAATAACGCGAGTGACAAATCCTAGAGTCCTCCCAGAGTCTGTAGCTACCGTTTGCAATGAAAGGGTGGAAACTAACGCGCTTTTTACTCCGTTTAGAGAAGCTCATCATACCAGTACACTCTGTCCGGCACTAAAATGAACGTTTTCAGTCACCCCTGTGTCCTTGTGCACACTCGTTAGCTACCCTGTGTTCATGTACACACTCGAGTTTTTATTTGATTGTGCTTTATCCTCAACTAAAAGGGTTACGTGTTTCCTTTAAAAGGGGCTCCTCCTCTAACGACACCATGACAACTAATTCAACTGTCAATGTGTTTACATTCAGCTAATTGGGGGTACCGAAAATAGTATGGTAACAAATCTACGGTACTAAAAAAACAATGATAGTAATGATAAAATGAGATTTAAAAAATGTGTTTCATGTAAGATATGTTATAAATTTACTCAGCGATTGCGAACTTATCAGCATTAAAGAAGTCAAAGAATTCGTTGTTTTCAAAAATGTTAATTGTGGTACGTATGTTAAAGGTGTAAGTTGTTGTCATTTAACTTTAGGTCAGTGATATCTAACAATTTTTACTAATGGGAAAGACATCCACAGTAATCACCGTGTCTTTAAGAATTATTTTGGATTAAGTTTATACCTTATCCCCATGGGAATCAAAATCGAAAGCCAAGAAAAAGTTGAGAAAAAAGGAAAAAGCTTCCAGGATAACACCATATGAGCCCCCCGAATTATACAAGAATCAAGTGCAGCTGCAAGGTTTTTCCGTGTGAAATTTGCTTTACATTCGGCCGGATTTTGTTAAGGAAAATTTATTTTACGACGAGGGGAAAATGTTGGATTATGTTGCATATTTTCTTTGTACAATTATTTATTCTCCCAAGCACATTAACAACATAATTATTTTAGGCTTCATTATATTTTAACGATCTCATCTTAGTTTTATTGTTGTCAAAATAAACAGTATTGATTTAACCCGCCCGGTCGGTCAGACCTCACGTCGCAAAACTAAGGCTTAATTTTCCCGCGCTTAGAACGCCATTCTTATCTTTTGCTCGGTCACGGCGTTCTAAAAGCCCTCAAGCTCCCTTACGAATTAATGAAGATGCGTTTCGAATTTTCCTTTAACCTGATTGGCAAATCGACAATGGCTTTTTTAACAGGCCAATCATGGCGCGTACTCAATCCTAGTACATAGGAGGGGACCCAGAAAAAAGACTTCGGCTTAGTTCCGTTTTTGGCGCAGGTAAGATACATGAGGAGCCGCAAGCGGTGATATTTTTGCACGGCAACTGGCGGCACAAGAATTTGGAATTGAAGGGCAAATTCCTAGAATACCTTCATCAGTTAAGCCAGAGAGAAGGTGTTTAAAAACCTCGGAATCCTAAACAACATGTCAATCAAAATATCACTTAGAGCTTTTCGCTAATGAAGAGCTTTCACGCGGCGAAGCTTAAATTAGACATTATGATATCGAAATAGGAACTCATGCCAATGAAAGCATCTGAAGTGATTGTCACGTTCTTACTCAGTGTAGCAAAACATCGACGAATTGCTGCTGGTAAAAATCTGGTACACGGGGATATGCATTTTCCTTTTTAAGAGAAAGGAATTAGAGCTGCTTTTCAGGAATAGGTTTTCTTCGGGCTAGCTAGAAAACTTCAGCTTGTTCTACCCACGAGGTTACAGAGAGCCGAAATGCAGTGATTATTAGATTTTAGTGTAACCATCAGGTATGTTCTACCCACGAGGTTACAGAGAGCCGAAATGCAGTGATTATTAGATTTTAGTGTAACCATCAGGTATGTTCTACCCACGAGGTTACAGAGAGCCGAAATGCAGTGTTCTCGCAAAAATAGTAATGGCGTCATAAGTTGTCTAGGATAGGCAGGTCTGGTTAGAGTACCAGCGATATTAAACCTACAGTAAAGAGGGACCTAGAGGCAGTTGAGAAATGGCTAGAAGCCAATAAAATTGGCTGCAACAGTTGAAAAGCTTGTAGCCTGAGATCATTCCCTCTCCCTATTATCCCTTTATGTCTCTCACGGGAAGAGGGCATGATACATTTCTTTGTCGGATCACATGTAAAAAAGCCAGAATCTGGACTTTTTTCTGATTGGATAGGAAACAATACGGATGATTTGCGCTGTTCCAATTGGCCAAAATGCCGCCATCCGTTAGTTGTTGTTGATTTCAGTCTGCATTTTTGCTTGCGTAATAAGCAGTGAATACACACGCGAGTTCGTTATAAAATTTCTGCCGGCTCAGTTTTCTCGAATTTAAAGAATGCCTAAATGAGTCCTAAATAGAAATTTCATCCATTGAAATATTTTCCATCTCATCGTATACCAAAAAGTTGCAGTCAAAAATTCACCGATCATTTGAATGCAATTTGATATCGGCTACAAGTTACAGAAGCTACAAACGGGTTCACTTTTCAAATAATCAATTCATAAATGGAATCTTGACCTGGTTTGACTGTAATTCCTCGTTCAGAAACCTGCGAATTATTCTGAGCGATCTTTGCTTTCACAACACCTTTCAGTTCGTAAAATATGGTGCTTCAGCCTAATTTTTTTTTTCACTGCTTCCGGCACAGAACGAAGTCAACGAGCTTTAACCGGTAAATTCTTTATTGTTTGTAGCTGTTAAATAAAGGTAAGGCAGCTCCAGCTAGCAGTGTTTCATCACAAAAACAACACATTTAAAATTTTTTTTAGGAAGCGCCATCTGAACATGGACGTACTTAAAAATTTTCTTTTCCCTAAAATTTGATTTCAAAAGAGACATCATTAGTTATTCGCGCCAAAATTTGATTCCCGTCTGGTAAACGCTTATTGGCTAATAAAATGACAGGTCAAGCAGACGTTAGATTATGTAAATTAGGGAGCGGTTAACGGCTTGTTAAGTGAATGTATCAGGCGTTATTTTTTTCCCTCTCGAGCCAAAGAAACAAAGAAGCAAAAAATAATAATAATAATAATAATAACGCCTGATCTCAGGTTAAAAAGCTTGTTGATAGATGCATCTAGACAAAGCATCATTGCAGCCAAAGAAATGACACTTGTGCATACATGATAGACCTAAAAGAAAACTACTCGCAATACGGACTCATTTAGAGTTTTAATCTTCAGGAACTACTGACTGATTTTGGATCTTTTCGAATGGATGCAAAGTAAGGTACGTGACACTTATGCACTACTGTAAAGTGAAAAAACGGAATTCGGTTCCGTTAAGCCTTTTGACTAGCAAACGCCTTCTACTGTACAGACGCCCCAAAGCCTGCCCCCACCCCCCACCCCCAAAAAAATATATATGTATATTCGCTAAACCGAACAGAAATTTGAATTTTTCAGATTTCTCATGCCACAGAACGCTTAAAAACAAGAGGTGTGATCATAACTAAATGCAAAGTAGCTTGTGAATTGGAAAAGGTTCTGTTTCCCGATAAAAGAAAAATCTCTCTCCCATATATTTCTGTAATGAAAAGGTTTACGTTTCAAGTGCACATGTCCATCGAGCGTTTTCACTAAGGGCCTGTTTACATGGAGGTGGGGGACCTCAGGTAGCTGAGGTAACCCGCTTAGGTGGGGTAACCCGTCTGTCCATATAATCTCTCGTTTTACTTGGATCACGTTTACATGATAGGTGGGGTTACCCGCCTAGGCGGGTAGCCCGGTCTGCCAGACCGGGTAACCCTCTCAGCTGGAGTCAAATTTTGCCATGTAAACGTTTCAAGGTGGGGTAACCCGCCTAGCCGGGGTCGGATTCCGAATACATCAAATTTGCGCAAAATTCATTTTGGCGGTGGCTTTGCATCATTATTAAAGGTAGCAATAGAAAGCCACAGCACTGAAGGTTGTAGCAGGAGCAGCACGTGAGTGTAGAAGTGCATTAATCGCCAAAACATGAGGTTTGCTAGCATTTTTCTTGTTTGCGTGCTTAGCAACCATTCAATAATCTTGAAAATGTGTACCGCGGGATGATTACATGTAAAGGAGAGTTATTTTTTTTACACCAACTAAGCGGGTTATCTCACCTACCTGGGGTCCCCCACTCCCATGTAAACAGGCCCTTAAGTGGCCGGTATCTATGCAAATTTATTAGAACAAGTAGAAAATGTTGACTTAGAAAAGAGTTCAACTCCCACAGGATTTATTCAGAACACCAATATGTCCGCCTTGACGTCATGTAAATTTTTCTGGCGATGAAGCTTTCATAGTATATTTTGTATACGTTGTTTAGGAAAACATGACATTTTAAAATACTTTTTTCGCCTCTAAGACTAAAAAATGGATACGTTGTGGTTCAATTTTGAGTTTAAAACAAAGGGAAATACAGTTTACCCCCGATAACTCGAACCTTCCACTTACTCGAAGTAATTTTTGTTTCCCCGCAGATCATCTCTATATAATTTTACCCTCGATAACTCGAACCATGTTTTAAGCCCTTAAAAAGTCGGAAAAAAACAGTGTAAGGGGGGCCGAAACATTAAATTTTGATTTTCCCATTGACGTGTTGTAGGCATGTAGTTCTGACTAGTGGAGGCTGATGTTGTTTGTCACAAATCTACCGTGGAAGAGCTTTACTTCTCAAAACAGTAAAACGCATGCTCTGTTTAATCTAGAAGTATGTATCAATTTTCACTCAACATTTCTACAATAAACTGTGATTAAAATGTAGACTGTGTAGTAAAAACTGTTTTGTTTTGTTTTGTTTTTGTTTTGTTTGTTTGTTTGTTTTTTTTTCATACTCCCGGCTATTTTCTTCGAGCTCCCGACAACTGGAACTTTTTTTTCGATTTCCCTAGGAAGATTCCAGTTATTGGGAGTCGACTGTAAAATCTAAATCAAGGAGTTGCCAACCACAACAAATACAGGGTAATCCCCGGATGGACCGAATAGGCAGATTTCGAAGTATCAAAATTCATACTTGGCGTCGAGGCTGTGGGAATTAGAAAACAAATGAATTATTAATTAATCCCTGAGTCTTAATGCTATTTCTTCTGTTTCATTGTCTTCCGCCTTGAAGCCAAGTGTGAATTTTAATAACTCGGAACTGACACGCTTTAGTGACCTTCCGAATATTCGCTGGAAACGTGACGTTGCTCACTAGAGGAATTTTACACAAGGTTGAGCCGAAGAAGGAAACCGAGGAGCATTTATCCTGTAAAACGGTGAACGGGGTGTGTTCTTATTCTTTTGGCCAGAAAAAGAACCGACAGCTCCAAGCAGTTAACCACGTTGCAAATTAAAATGGCGCGCATTCTTCAGCACATGGCCGTATTAATTTTCGTCTGTCTGGGAGAAACTGTTGCAGGGTCCGTCATCTCTAGGCACCGATCTCCAGGTAAGAGTCAAAGTTAACAGATCTGTTACAGATCAGACTATGTTCATGGTCTGAAAGAAAACGTCTGCCAGACAAATCGTTATCACTTCATGTTTGAGGGAAAACTTCGGACACTGTGATTTCTTCGATACATAGACTTTGCCATTATCTTGTGAATTGTGTTGAAATCAGTTTAATAACTACACTTTATATAATTCAGATCGGCAATTTCGCCTTTTATCATTGGCGAAGTGAAACTGTTTGTATGAGAAGGTATCGTTTTGTTGTCGTTTGTCATCCGTGAAGTGAAACGTCGGTACAAAGTCCACAAAGAAGAATGCTTTCATAGTTTTCATAAGAATTTATTTAATAAGATTATCGAGGCTACAAAATGACCAAAATTGAAATATTATGAAAATTTCAGGGAAAAGTAAACCCGAGGCTAAGACTTTGAAAAGAATATATTAATTTTGTGTGTGGAAAAAGTTGTAAATAAAATTCGATTATATGTTTTTCACAACGATATATAAATAAGTGCTTTGTACGGTATTTAATACGCACGAGATGTTGACGAATCACAATTCGAACGAGTAAGCCCAGTGATGGAGTGAGATTTTTGAAAAGATATGGATTAAGCTTTATTCAGAACGATTGCGTTAAAACCGTACAAAGCATGCACTTTCCACGTGATATTGTGTTTATTAATTGCATGCTGAGACATTCGTCACTCCGAAAGCCTTTTATTTTTTATGGTTTTCAAGGTGTTAGAATGATGAAATTTGCCTCCACACATCGTGAGGTCACATAAAACAAAAACACGTCGTTGCCTCAAAAATTTTAATGATCTCTAGAGGCCACCATTAGTTGGTCAGTAAATATTAACAATGGTTTGTTGAATGGTGTTATATTTAATGACTTAAAAAGGCGTTTGACAACATCGACTATCACATTCAGTCTGTTGCGTAAACTTTGTGATATTAATGGAAACTCTTTAAAGTGGATTGAGTTCTATTTAAGCAATCGAAACCAGAAGTGCAAGGTAAACAATCATTTATCGCAAGCGCAACAAAGCAATTGTGGAGTTCCTAATGGTTCCATCTTAGGCCCCTGTTTTCCTGATATATATTGACGATCTCCCAAGTTGTCTAGAGAAGGCTGCCTCTAGAATGTATGCTGATGATACTGATATTATTTTTGATGTGTCTGACTTGAGTGTCCTTGAAAGGGAGATAATTGCGATTGAAGAAAATTACCTCTGGCTCATGGCCAAAAACTCCAGTCTGGATATTGCCAAAACTGAATTAATGTTAATTGGGTGTTCTTATATAGGACAAATTAACTTGGAGAAACCACGTAGGCGAAATTTCTGAAAGGATTTTCTCTAGACGCACTGGGGTTGGAAAAAGGCCATCATTGTTTTTAAGTCTTTACGTAACCTTGCTCCAGCGTATCGCCACAAAAAGGTTTTGCAAATTCAATGCTAAATTTTAAAAAACTCAGTTAACAAACTTGCATTGCCCAAGCCTAGGACAAAGTACCTGAGGTGCAGCTTTTCACACACAGCGGTGCCGCATGGTGGAGAAATCTGCTTCAAGGTCTTAGGGGATGTGATCCTCTGGGGTTTTTAAAAATGATGCTTAAAACTTACTATTCTTCTTTAGGCTCCCACACAGCAATCATGTAAATTAGTTGGATTTTAGTAGTTGATATTTTTTAGTATATACGTTTAACTGGTATTTCCCGTGTAAAATAATAATAATAATAATAATAATAATAGTAGTAAAATTAAATAGGGGTATTCCTGTATAAATATGACGGAGGTGCTCGTCTTGTATATTCGGGTTAAAATTTGTGGATTGGTATCACCTTGAATGGGGTGCGTTAATCTCAAAAAGACTGCATAAAGACGAAGTACCTCTCTAAGGCTTTAAAGGGTGTTGAGCCAAAGAACTATTTGTTACTCTTTTGATTTTTTGGAATCTCTTTTACACCCAATACTGCTTCTTGAACAGGGTGTCTGGACTGGAAGCCTCCGTGAACAGGGTTATTTGACGTTGGCGATGCGCAGTCTATATATGTATTACCAATGTTAGTAATATATCGTGTCAGATTAATTCTTAATTCTGTAGGCGAAATGAAATCAACAAGGTCCATAAAAATGATCTGTAATTGTCAGGTTTGAGGAATTAACTATAGTTGTCTTAAACAGGGCCAGGGTTTTCTCTAGACAGGGTTTAAGGGCCCCTCAACGGCACGTCTGAACTCAAACTTCCCATAATAGCGGCGTGAATGACTTTGGACCTAACTAGCACGTTACCTATTTAAATCAATAAACATATATAGTTAACACCCATATTTACGGATAGATCAAGCCCCATATGTTTTGTATTAAGGTAATTTTATTGCGCTTATCTAGACTAAATTTGCGTCATACATTTGCGTTTACCTGCCAAGGTCGCAATGCGATACCGCTGGATTGGATGGGTGACCTTGAAGCTGACTGCTACGTCTTCTCCCGTGGGACGGATGGTGAGTTTAGAACAAAATGTTTAATCTGTTGACTGGTTTAGAAAGAAAAGAAAATTGAACCGAACAAAAAGGGAAAAGCAAGGTATCCGTAAAGTTGCACGTGACAGAATTTTTTAGAGTACAGCTGCTGTTTATGTTCCATTGGGCTTCTGATCTGTTTTAGTCTTTTTTTAAAATGTGGTGAATGCTTACCCTCGGCCAGATTGAGCTTTGCTTATTAATATAGAGCCACAGATGACAGATGTACAGTTGAGTTGCCGTTTAAGCCTGGCGCCGTTGTCAACTTGTGACAAAACATTAATTTTATGCTATATTCTGAAATCAATGAAAGATGGTTTCCATGTTCTGTAAGAAGCACCCTCCTGGGCCTAGTTGTTTGAAAGTTGTATATCGCTATCACTTTATAAACTGATTTTTTCATCCAGTGGATAACGCAACTGATTTTCTTAAGAATTATCCGCTAGGTAGTGATTGATGTGGTGGATAACACCATCCGATGTTTAAACAACCGGGGCCAGGTCTATAAAAACAAGTGAATGCTCTTTCCTATCGTTTCGCGTATGGCATCATGATTAGGACGGGTAAAAAAGTGGAGGGAGTGGACCTGAGCATGGAAATATGTTGGATGAAAAACACATACGGGGGGTGACAGCTCTAACAAGGGCTGTTTCGGGAGAAAAACAAATTTATTCCGGGAATCTGGAGATTTTGCCGGGAATCGGGAAACCTGGGAAAATTTTCGGGAAATATGAGATATTTTCGGGACATTGAGCAAAGATTTGATATTACATGTTATCAAACAATATATGTACAGTGATATGCACCCAGTGTATGCGCTGTATTCTATGTATTTTGACACTTGAAAACGGCTGAACTCCCCATGATATGAAAAGATCAATCAGCAACGTTTCCAACTGAAATAGCATGAAGTTCGAGTGCGATTGACCACGTCAAATCCCCAGCAGATTGACACCAGAACCGTACCGGTGCAAGGCACATACTATCAGTTCACAGCAGATCCCATCATTCATTAGTTCAGGAGTATTTTTACGCTGCACGTTAACCAGTTTTAAGAGCACATTCAACTGATTGCATACTGGAAAACTTGAAAGAAGTACGTAAGAAGTATGTAAGAAAAAAACGAAACTCGTTTAACCTTGTTAAACACAAATGAGGCCATAAAAAGTAGTATGTCTGTGAAGACCCTTTAATCATCCTGATCTCGTCGGGGCCCTTCCAATTTTGCTCGAGAATCCCGACTCCCGATCAATATGCGCTTGGGATAGGAAAATTTCAGATTTTGACATACAGTTGTTCTGAAATTTTCAAATGAATTCTTATGATACTCATACAATGACACCACACAGAGTATACTTAGCTGAAAGTGATATCCAGAGCAATTTCAAAAACCGCACAACTTGTATAAAATAAAATTGACATGAAATTTTCAAATGAATTCTTATGATACTCATACAATGACACCACACAGAGTATACTTAGCTGAAAGTGATATCCAGAGCAATTTCAAAAACCGCACAACTTGTATAAAATAAAATTGACTACTTCTACGTGAAGTCACGCCAATAAAAATAAGCATAAAAAGGACAATTGATTTAGAGAACATTTTGGACAGAATTTGTCCTCTCAGAACACTAGAAATGACGTTTCAGAGCACCAAGATTTCAAAATTTTCTGGGGGAGCATGCCCCCAGACCCCCCTAGTGGTTGGCCCTTCACTGTTCGCCTGATTCATTGGTGATTAAAAAACAAAAAAAACATGATTTTATATACTTAAAAAGTTTCACAGTCTTTCTGTGTCAACATGATACCCTCTAAACGAAAAAATAACTAAGGTTAGATAATTAACAAGTTATATATTAATTAACAAGAAGCTGCAAAAAATCTCTAATCAAAATTTTAATTTTAATTGTTTAAACAAAAATTTGGGAAGTTAAACATTTATGGGGAATGCCACCGAAAAATTCGGGAGGGTCGACGAAATTTCCGGGAGGAAATAAAGTTATTCATAGGACTGCCCAAACAGCCTTTGTTAGAGTTGTCACCCCCCGTAACACATGGTCCAATCCTTCCTTTTGGCACAAAATTGAGTGACCCACCCTTGTTAAAAATGAACCTTTAAAATTACATGAGACACCCCCTAGTAAACATAAATCGTTTTACTTTTAATCTAATGAAACCACATTTTGTGTATGACGAATTCATAAAATAAGTAGGGTGTTATGACATAGGTTACCTTCCTCCAAGAGTAGCTAAAAATTAAACGACCCATCCTGGCCCAGGGGTCAAAAACTGATGACCCACCCCCTCTCTGCTCCGGCCCAAATAATGACAAAATGTCCCTTCGCCACCCCCGCTCAATACCTTTTTACCATTCCCTTACCACTAGCAGTGTTTGTATAGGCCTCAAGTGTGTTATCAGTCTTACAGAAAATGGGAAGCTATCTTCTGTTTTATATCTCTTGTAATGTCTGTGGAGGTACTGTTAACGTTCAAAGTACCCAGTCAATTTCTCTCATAATCTCGGAGATTTCCTCACTCAAAGTTGTGTTTAGTTTTGTTAGGTCCTCACATGAAGACAGATGGTTCAAAATTCAAGAAAGAGGCTCCAAACAAACTGGATAATCCTATTTCACCCTCTATCGTCCTCTCACTCGGGAAGAGTAATATAATATGGCGAGTCGCGATTGTCTCTGATGATTACTATTTCATGTGCTCGGAAAACGCCAGTAAGTAACTCGAGTCTTTTGAGTTTTTTCATCTGATCAGCCCTTGCAAGACTGGCCTTACAGTTGTCTTGTCTTGTCTTTTTTAATCAGTTTGTGGGAACCAGTTGCTGCAAATGCAAGTGAGCTAAAAAACAGGAATTATAATTAGCTCGTGAATTTGGCGTTCAATTGATTCCGCAGCCCCTTAGTTTAGGGATTTGTTATTCATCCACATCACATCAGAGCCGTAGCTAGCGGAGGGCAGGCAGAGCCCCTTCCCCCCCCCCCGGACCTGCTGAGCAAGACAAATCAAGTCTGTGGATGGATTTGTTTTCAGTTGATTGTAGTGACTTGCAATTGTTTGCCATTTTCATGGCCGAGAAATTGGTTGGTCCACGGTGTGTGCAAATACACGTAGTAAGCAACAGGATGCAAACCCCCCTATTGAAATAGGAGTGTATATGTACTATTTGCAAGGTTCACTCTAGCGTTGGACACGTTCTTCAATGGCAGAAGAACGCCTTAGCGGCCTCGCAGTGATGCTTATTAATCGTGTCACCAACTACATGCCAACGCCATATGAACGAAAATCAAACTAGAGACACCTTTTAATAGGTTAGTTAGCCAAACAGCATGCAGTATTGCGAAATGTTTAATGTACTAGTACATACCTCTTAAACTTTCTTTTTTGACGCCTGTCAAATGACTGTCAAATCGTGCGTCCTGCACTTGTTTCCGGTCCCCCAAACGGGAAGAAGCCATATAATAAACACCTTATTAGCCTCGTTTTTTCGGTCCGTACTGTAAATTACGGATCCTCGTTTTTTCCATCGATTTATGGCCCAAGCGCGAAAACTCGGTCCGTAATTTACAGTACGGACCGAAAACTCGGCTAATAAGAGGTATGTACGGTGTGTTTCAAATTAACAGGACCTCGGAAATAAGCACCTGTAAGCACTGAAAATACCTGCCTTTTCACACTTGTTCGAGGTCGATTTTTCGGAGACATATCTAGTCTATATCTCATGACAAGTGCTGAAAACAGTTTTTCGGAGCCTCCAAATTTGAAAATTGTCTGGGGGAAGGATATTCCCCCCCGTTACCAAAAACCTACCTAAGGCCCTGCGCATGTACTAATTATATCAAGTGACTGTGGTAACAAGATGGCAATAATTGACCAAGAAAATTTTTTTTAGTGATTCGAGTCACAGATGAAGACGGTGATCGTGTGCTCGAAAGACTACAGTAAGTAATCAGAGTCTTGAGTTTTTTATCTGTTCAGCCCTTGCAGGATCCTACAGTTGTCCTTTTGACACTCATTTTTATTGTTGAATATGACATTTGTTGAGGGAATGTGGTGTTTCGAACATCTCCCTCTCTCTCTCCCCCTCTCCATATTCACTCATTTAATGACTCTATGGCGTTTTTTAAATTCCTTTTCCTTTCCCCAAACATCTCAGTCATAAAATCGGCATTATCGATGGAGCGATTTTCGTCAGCAATAAACTGAAACAATATCTTAAGCCAAAGGAAATATAGCCGCCATTCGAAAATCATATGCGTTGTGGTTTACCTTTTTCATGTGATCTGTGCGATGCAGATTATGTTTGCTATACAGCGCATTGTTGAACATAAGGACTAGGCTATCGGTAAAAAAAAATTGTGGAAACTCATGGGTAAGACCAAGAAAGCCAATTTTGCATTTTCCTCAAGTGCCAGACGAAGTTTGAATGCTTGATTTATGAGATGCCCTTTCATTAGAATCCAAGCTTGAAGACCACCCAGGCTTATTGCATTCGTATAAAACTCTGCTTTACTAACATTCTTGAAACTCTATTAGTAAGTTTTTTAATCAGGCATTGTTTATTTTCATTTTGCAACAGGCATTACTTTTTGACTTGATAATCGAGCATTAGTTGAACGTTGAAAAGTCGTCGTCGGTTTTTTAATTTTTATCTTTATTTCAGCGCAGTATTTATATGCAAATGTTTAACGAAATCGCTTCTTATACATAGAGCGATTTTCGTATGACCTTAAAATGAAAACGCCCGAACAAAACAGAAACAACAAACGAACGGAAATAGAGCCATTTGATTGGTTTATCGAACAGATACAAAAGCGATGGCTTTTGGTTAGTTAAGCGAACGCTCGGGTGAAAAAACTTCATGCCCGAGAACTTTCTAGAAATCAAACGATACTTCGCTTTGAAGTCATACTGCAACACGATTGGCCAATCGAACAATGCCTTCTCCATATTAGGTTTGTTTTCTTTGGCGGGAGAACGAGGAGTCCATGTTTTGATCTTTTCATCCATTGGCTTATCATTTCTGAGGTTAGGAAGTTAAAGTTTAAATTTTTTCCTTGTAAATACAACATAATTTTTTTAAAAAAATACCTTCCTTTCTACCAACTTTAAAACTAAGGTTCTTACAGCATCATCCGTCTTTATTGGATCAATCTGTATTTGTACGTCACTTTTTATTTTCAAAATAATTATGCTCCTCCATTTTTCCACAAGAAATTACCGTCTAATTTTTTCCCCTTTAGGATACTGTGGGTCTCTACTTTTAATAATTATTACTCGGAAAGGAAACACAATGGCTACAACATCACTGAGTCCGTCTACGCAATTAAGTCAAGACATAACGATCTTTTATACTGGGTTGATATCATCAAATCTGATGGAACCCGTAGTGACGACCTGGTTTTGTGGCTACAATGCAGGCCCGGGATCAAAGTAAATGGACACCACAAGGCCCTCTACCGGAAAATTAAGTGGACAAATAGTGTCCATTTGTACCTTTCGTTCAGTCTGAAGAGCTATGAAGACAATGGATATTTATGGACCGACACTGACGGAGCAAGGGAAAACGTTTTTGTTACTGGTTTTTGCAAGACGTTTGGATTGGAAAACCCTCCCGGATATGAAGAAAAGCGAGGTATTATTCAGCTAACTCACTGCCATATATAAGACAAAAATCTTTCACAACGGCCCTAGTTTTATTTGTTATTTTGCAAAGATTTTTTTTTCTAGAATCCTAGAAAATTCTTCAGCGTTTCCCTACAGTTACTCTGAACAGTTTTTTCATCTTAAAAAGTGCGTGCTCAATACCAACAGGCACATAAATGTCGTCGACGTGCGAGCCATTGTCGAGAATGAACAACTGAGGAAACGCTCTCATATTTTTGTAAACTTTGACGTCTTTGGTCCATATGGAAACATGCTTATTATTCTTCGTGGACCCATTAAGCTTTCCATTTCAGCTATTAAGATGGTAATTGGCAAAATAGGGCAGGATAGATCTGGTACCTCATTATTAAAATTTTGACCAATCCTAACAGAGTTACAGACAAAAAAACAAGCAACATTTGGGGAAAAATCCACCACCAATTGTGCTGTTTACCTACTATACTGCTCTTAACAGATTAAATTAACCCATGCGAGAGAAAGGCGGTAAAAAGAAACGCAAAGGGAAAAAGAAGAGAGCAAGAAAAAAAATCAAAATAGATTCGCGTGCGCGAAAACCGGAAAAGCTGCTTAATTAGATCCAATTAGCAGAAAATTAAGGGTGATGTTATACGGAACTATTCGATACGACGATTTTTAGCGCAACACAGCACAGCGTTGCAACATTGTTGCGACATTATATTGTTTTGAACGGTTACAACATTGTTCCAACATGTTAACACTGTGTTACGCTAAGATCGTCGTTGCGAATAGTCTTGTGTAACATGTCCTTTATTAGTGTTGGAAATCTCTTTTTTGGCCATTCCGGCCCATGCTAACTGGCCGAAAAACGGTTCTAAAAGGAGGATTTGGTCCAAAATGCGGTTTTCCCCTAAAAACTGGCTGACGGCAAAGCGGTTAAGGACCTTATCATCCATAAACTGAAAGACTATATCCTTTTTTTCCAGGTGAAATCTTTTACCAACGCAGTGGTGATGAGAGAGTTGACTTGAACAAACCACACCCTGAAAAACCAAAAAGTGAAAAAGACAGGGTTAGTGTTTTATGTATGTGACGACGATTGACATAGAGCACTGCTTCTAAAATTCCTGAGTTACACGTCGCATCGTTCTTGTCAGATTTGGGGTGGCAACCAAGTTTGCTTATGGATCTATCGCTGAGGAATGAACTGACCCTCGTTAGGAATGTTTTGAAATAAGTCGTGCAGTCCAATGGATAAGAGATAAACTCTATTTTTACTGTAGATAATAGTACTACGTTTTAATTGTTTTACATAACGTTGAAACCTTATTAAGGCTCTTTGCATGCCTTAAATGCCATCGTTGTGTTTCTTCAAAGCTAGAAAATATTTTGTAAAACTTCTCATTGTGCGTTAGCAACTCGTGATTTGTTGATATTGCTATATTCCGGATTTTAGGGAGGAGTGGACAAACCTTGGGATCCAATCGCTTCGTTGGGTGTCATTTCGCTGCTACTAGTACGTATGCGGGCAATATTCTATCATTGTTTCTTCACAGTTTGTATTTGTTATGGTCATTTAAATACTAAATGAGTGGGTCAGCCATTTAGGGCGAATGAGTGAGTAAGTGGGTTTTCATTCAAGATAGAACCAGTGTTAGCAAACACAGGCCCAGACATGAACACTTTCGCTTCCAGCCGCCTCGTGTCGGTGATCACCGGCGCAGTCGCTTGCGTTTTGTTTTGCAAAATGTGGATTTTTTTTTACTCTTCATTTTTGGATAGAATTAGACGACAACGATCATTCTGCTAGTAGTCTAACACTCACTTAATGTTATCTAAATATCGTTTTGTTTTAGAGAAAATGTGAAGAATAAGTTTGGGGGACTTATTGACGCTAGTGTTTTTATTTTTGTTTCTGTTTGATTTTGGGATTTTTTTGTAAAGAGTGTCCGGTACTGGATAATGGTCGTAATGTGTAACTACATTTTCCTTAGGTAACGATTTACAGATGCTCTCCTGGAACAAAAGTGACCAACATCACCAAATGCAAAGTGGCCAAAGTGAAGGGTCAACATGGTGGAGTGGTAATTGCAGGAGATTACGCGACAGTAAATTTTCATTACCATTACGCGAACAGGCAAGATTAAGCGAATCTCGCAACTGTTAGAAAAAAATGTATTATAATAACAATAAAAAAAACCTGGCAACAGGTTAAAAACAAACAAACAAAAACAGATTAAGCGAATGCGTGTGCGTTCTGATTAGTTGACCACCCGAGTGGTCAAGATATTGGCCTATCTCGCCCGCTCGGGAGTTCTCGTGTTAGTCCGGCGAAAAATTAAGGTATATCCTTGTAAATAGCTTTCGGCCCATCTTTTGTATTTGTTGTAAAACGTTAGAATGTTTGTAATTGTATTTTCTTATTTCATTAAATTTTCAATAGTTGATTAAGTAAGCCATTATTTTGCTACCGCTGAAAGAGATATTTAGATTATAACAGGAAATATCGTGGGATAATCATTAAAAACTGAATCATTTGATAATGCAATTCTAGTGTTTTGATTGGCTTAGCCATTATGGTATATTATACACTTAATGTCAGATCCCGAGGCAAACAGTTAGTTTTGTTTTCCCGAGAGTCCTGATGTTTCCCGCGACGAAATCGAGGGAAACATCAGGACTCGAGGGAAAATAAAACTAACTGGTTTCCCGAGGGACCTGACATTAAGTGTTTTTGGATATGAGATGATTATAGCCAACTCGGCGCTACGCGCCTCGTTGGCTACCTACTCTCATATCCAACGCGCCCTCGTGGAATAATTGTTAATTATAGAATTTTAATTTTAAATCAATGTTATATTTCATCGATATCGGGTATTACTAGCTCTTAACCTCTAGCCTGTGAACAGGCCTTTGGTCGAGCAGGGAATTTTGAAATAACCCCGCTCTTGATAGGAAATTAGTGCCCATGAATCGTTGTTAAACGTGAGCAAAGAACTAAGATCCCATTTGATTATTGTGACCACTCCGGAATTACGCATCTGGGTGTGGACTTCCTTAGTTAATATACGCAGCATTTTTGTAAAATTTAATTAGATTGAGATCGAACGTAGAACGGAACGTATACTGTTGAATTGTGAAGAATAAAGTCAACGATTTCATAGAAAACTTCAATTTTTTTAATTTTTTTTCTTGACCGATGTTAGTAATAATTGTGCCGGAACGAAAAATAATGTTTTTAATTGAATCTGTTTTTCTCGCTTCCTCCCAAACCGCTCCCCACCCCCAAAGTAGTTTTGACACTCATTGGCAAAGTACAAACATTAACCATAAAGGACTCATTGGCAAGATGGCAGGCCGTAACGCAAAGCGCTCGATCTCGACGATCTTACGGAAAAATAGAGGACTGTGAACAGTTTAACGTTTTATCATTTTTTTTATCAATTGACGGTTCGGTTTGACATCACATGACCGTGGTGTGTGTTCCTAAGTGAAACCCCACCCACCCCGCCCCAACCCCGCCCCCCATACCCAAACTTTTACTGGGGCCCGCAGTAGCCCCCGCTGACCAACATGGCGTCTTGCACAGCAGCTAAAAAACGAGCATCTCGACAGAAAGCTGCAAATGATGTGGTTCAAACTGCTCCGATTTGCAAACTTCCTGCGAATATTATGCTACAAGTGTTCAATTACCTTAACGTAAAGACACTTTGTGCTTTATCGACAGTGTGTCGGCGATGGTATCATCTTGTTTGTGATCGCTCGTTGTGGAAATACGTTGATCTACGCTTGTGGCCACTCTCGCTACGCACTTTGAAGAAAATTGTAAGGAATCGCTTGTCAGATTCAGTTCTGGAGTTGCTTATCAAAGGCTTCATTGGGACCACCAAAAAGGGCGAAAACATTTCACCATCTTTACTTGAGGAGATCAAGACGAAATGCCCAAGTTTAGAAACTCTGGGCTTGTGTTACTGTGACATGAGAAATATTCCCGCTCAATGTTTGCCACGAAATTTAAAATCGTTACTTCTAGATCATTCGATAGTTCCACTTGGTTGGTTTGAGGGATTGCAATGTGAGACGTTCTTCCCAAATCTATTGCAGTTGAACCTAACATATTGCACCCGCGTTGAGAATTCAGATCTCCGTAGCATAACAAAGCTGAAAAAACTTGAAAATTTAAATTTCAGTTACTGTTATCGAGTTGGTGACGAAGGCATTGAACATATCGCCCGAAATCTTAGTAATCTGAAAGTGCTTAATCTTTCAAATTGTCCGAAAATAACGGATTTAGGATTGCATCATATTGGACGACATCTCATTGGTCTAAAAAGGCTTAACCTGTTATCAAGTTGGAGAATAACTGATGCTGGTATTCTTTCACTGGTTCACAGTCTCACTGAACTGGAATATTTGAATCTGTCATCATGCAAGGAGGTGACTAATTCGGGGCTTACTGAGATCACTGACAAGTGTAAAAAGCTGAAGTTGTTGGACATAACAGGCTGTACTGCTATTACAGAAAGGAATGTGAGTGATGCTAAGTTACTTTTACCTCTGTGCGATATTCAGTGGCCTTAGGAAAAGTTATGGGTTGAATTGCTCGGGCTGTCGGTGAATACTGCAGGGGGGCTATGTCTTGAATGGCTACTGCAAAAAAATTAATCAATCTTAAAATGGGCATCATTATTTTCAAACAGTCTCTGTATAAAGCCTGGTCCACACTAGTGATGCAAGACGTCATTAAGTAAGTATAAGCACACACAGCGTCGTCCTCACTATTGACACACATAAACATGGGCACAAGCATTGGGAGCTTATGCACTATCAATTACGACCTTGATGTAAGCACAAGTATTTAAAAACACAGGAATGTCAAAACCTTGCATTCTTCTTCTGCTTATGCTTATGCAGTGATTTTCTTTCCTCTGCATCCTGCATCCCTGATTAGTGATACATAAAAAGTGCCAAAGATGCAAAAAATTCACCGCATGTGTCCTTTGGGGCGAAAAGTTGGATCAATGGATCCGAAGCTGTTTTTGTAGAATATCCTTTTTTTTTTATTTCTGTGGCTCTTCTTGTGGTTGTTGTTTAACGAGCTACATTTCTTTTAGTCTTTGTTGTGCTTTATGACAGAAGGAGTGTTTGTATTCCAGAAAATAGTAATGCAAGAGTTTTGGGAGTTTGTCTTCAGATTAATTATCCGCGTGGTTACCTAAAGGCCTGAAAAATTCAGTTTAGGACTCATTCTATTTGCCCTGGAGTAGGGGTCGTGATTTTCTGGAAGATTAGTCCTAGGACTCACCATAACAATATGAATTTGTAGCAAAATCACTAGTCCTTAAGCTTCTATGCTCATCAGTTTATGCTTATTTCCTGCATTATGTATATGCTTTTGCTTATGCTTGTGCTTACATCCTTAGTGAAGGCAGGGCTTAAAAGATTTCATTAGTTGACACTAAAACAACCACATTTTTTACCTTAGTCAATGAGAGCAGTTGGTGAGAGGAGACAAAAATATCCACCACACGACTAAATTAAATTGGTTTGATATACATTTTACTGAGTCGTAACAGTCTGACACCTCATGAGGGTTATTGGATGCCATGACATTTCAATGTTAATTCTGCCTAAACATATAATTTTGTAGACCAAAGCCTATCAAAATAATGTGTTCATTGCCTAGATTTAACCTACATGTGAAGAAACATTGACATTGCAATTTGCTAAATTATGTTAAAAAATTAACATGTGACATGCGTGGGTGAGTGATGAGCTCCATGAAATTACAGGGTGTCCCAAAAGTTTGTTCCTGTAATTTCATGCACTATAACTTTTGATCACAAGTTTATCTTTACATGAAATTGCAAGAAGATGTTTATTGCTCTATCGAGTACATGTATTCAGAAGTTTATTAACTGGCATACCCCTTTTGTTTTTATATCACAAAAGTCATTCTGGAGCCATTGCAGCATGAAGTGGGATACATTGCGTAGAGCCACAGATGATCTGGACCATTTTGAGCTTTTTTATCACCTAGTACGCAGGAGCCTTTTCAACCCCCAAACAATATTTTTTTCGATTAGGCGGCTGAAAACAAAAGCGTATTTTGGGCATTCATCCAAAAAAAGATAATCATCCAAGCCCCCAGTGAGACTTTTGTAGTTCTATACAAATTTTGAGATGAGCTAATCGTTGCTTGGTTTTTTGGTTGTTGTTGTTGTTTTTTTTGGCTATCTCGGGGGCCTCTAGCATTCACTTTTCATGAGCCTGTTTTAGACTGGGCTTGCTAACCATTGTGAGAGCATCCTTATTGCGTTTCTTCTTTTGTATCTAGCTTTCTTTAAAACTATTTTAGCTGCTTTATTCAGGACTTTCATCCTTCTCCTTCATTTCTTGTCTTCAAAACTATCATTTCTCGATGATCGTTTTATCACCCAACATTTGGATTTTTCCAGTTTTTTGGCAGTTTCTTCATTTGACAAGCCAGCAGCAGTTAAAGAAAGTAGTGTCCGATAGCCCTGGGTTAGTGGATTTTGCTATTGGGCTAGTGAACTCTGTTTTTAACTTGCCCGACGTGCAAGTGATGTTTTTTGAGGAATTCGAATAATAGAAGAACTGTGAAATCAATTCTGCTCATCAAAAAAAGTTTTTTGGGCGAGTTGAAATGACGTCTGGGCTAGTAAAATTAATGCTAGCTTCAGCTTGCCCGAATGCCAAGCACTGTAAAAAGGATTTTCTTTGCACCCTGGCCAGTAAATAGAAGTATACATGCTTATGCTCGGGGTGTAGCCAGGATTTTTCAAAGGGGGGGTCAGCAGGGACACCATCCGGGGATCGCTGACTATATATGGTTTATACCGTTGCTCTCCCTCGTGTATCAGTGGGCTCAGTCATATTATTGCGGCATGAAGGCCCTTATTAACTAAAGACAAGAGCCGTTGACGAAAATACTTTATAAAAAAACAAATTTTAAAAAAGTGGGCTTTTCAACAATGGCTTTTACAGCCAAGATATTGTCCAGGCGTTTTCGCCACCTGAATACTGTAGGTTGTTTGCTCAAAAGAAGGCCTACCAAGGGGGGGTCACGGGCACCCCAGGAGCCCCCTAGCTACGCCCCTGCTTATGCTCTCACATAACTGAATGT